CTCACTTTGTTCACGAATGGCTCAAGAAGGTCGTTCTATATAAGAAACATATTTTTCGGATATTTTGGTTCTCTTCATGTTTACAAACATTGATAAGCTTTGTTGTGGCATTTCTTTTGATGGCCTGCTGCATGTGAAATAGATATAGCAGCCTTTTAGTCTCTGAGGAAGGATAAATCTTTGAGAAGCCATTCCAGAATGTGTTTGTGTCATCGATCATAAAAACACAAGAGCCTAGCCGTCCAAATGCAGCCCAGGTAAGAACTTTTTACGCAATCAAAAAGTATAGCCACTTCGACGTCGGTCTTGCTGAAACGTGATGAACTTGAATCACGTGTATGTACTGAAAACTAAACGGACCGAAACGACAAAAGGTAAACCGCTGGGAGAGCTCTATCCCACTCATCCGCGACTATGATGGTTGCTAGTCTAAGCGAATAGGAAGTCAAGTTGAAAGTATCATCTAAGCATAAAGATTATTTACACATTTATCAATACCGAGAACAAATCCATCCCCGCTGGCATCCTCTGCAGGGGTGTAATAGTGTATGCCGTCAGATTCTACGTTGCTATCAACTCGTTTTTGAACTGAGACAGTGTCAAGGTTATGTAGTCTTTCCGGTTGCACACAACATTTCCTCGCAATGTTTCTAAAATATCCTAGGACTAAGTAAACCTAAATGCAATAATTTGAAAGAAGAATAATTGCACCTTATGTCTCGCGTCGTTGTGAAGTAAAGTCTCGTATCAGGACAACCCCTCATTCTTGTTCTCAATCTTTTATGCACTTGTCGGACTGTGAGACCTTCCATCAGCATTGAGGTGATATATTTTTCAGAGTTGTCGTCAAGCCTCAACTGTGACGGACGTGCCTCATGCCCACAGTGCTGGAAACAGTGTTCCACCAGAATACTGTTTTGTTCTTCAGCTACCTATAAGAAATGAACTCAGAGATTTCTTTGTGTAATTAAGATGGTAGTCTAACGCACCTTCATGTATGCGGTACAGTAGAAAACGGCTTTTTTGCTTTTCGCCGAAATTCTACCAGAAGCGCTAGGGGCAGCATGGCACGCATATAAGTAGTCTTCGATGTACCACACTGTTTGGTAGCCGAGGTGAATCGCCTTATTATGTTTGCCTCCTCTGATGCTAGCTTCCAAATCTTAAGTTCGATTATGTAGTGAGTCTAAGTTTGAAGTGTGCATGCATCAACATTAATATGAAACGTTGTAATCGTGCATGCTTGGAAAAGATAGTTTTTCTACAACGTAGTCCTCTTCACTTTCTGCATGGAAAAGTTGCGCATGCTCCATAAGATCCCGATGATTCTACATTTACTTTGGCAATGAATTCTTATCAGAATCCTAACATTATGAAAATTTGTAAAAGCAGAAAGTCCAAGGCATAATCAAAATGAAATAGGAATGAAAGTGTCAAAACCTTATTCACGATGA